TCTGCTCATCTCCTTCCAAACAGCTCTTAGTCTCTCCAAAAAGAGAAAGAAACACCAAAATCCTCTTCAGGTGGCATTTTCCTAATTAAGCAGCGCTCGAAAGCAGCCTTAGCTGATCGCTTCAGCCAAAGCTTTCGACGAAAGCTGCGGCCGTCAGTTTGCAGCGGCGCGTACCGAAATCTGCCGTTCTGGTCTGTGTCCACAAAGCTGCACCCCAGGCCTGCGAGCCCCCGCTGTATTCTGTAAGTTCTCCCTCCACAGAGACTTGTTAAATTCAGTAGCGACCTGAATGTATGGCTTTATACCGAGGTTTTTAGGCGGAAATGTCATCTGAACTGTGTTGTAGGTATCGCGTATGGTTGTCTCCTACCTTTTTCACTGTTAATGTCAGGGACCCGCGGGCTCGTTTCGCTCTCGTGCTGCGAGAGGCTGAGGGTGCACCTTTATGTACACACAGAGGGGAGGGAGTTGACCCCTGAACGACCCCCACGATTTCTCGGAAGCGAAAGCCCAATCTGTAACGCTCGAAAACATTTTTTGCCAAGTATTGCACTGATAATACCCGTACAAGTAATGCAAGGGTACCGACAGCAGAGTGGTGTCTAAAACCAGACAAGCGAGGTTGCGTATATGTAAAGGAAATTTGAGCGAGCTGCCCTGAAGAAAGGCATAGTGCCGAGATGAGAGAGAGAGAGACAGATGCATTGTTTGGAGATGTTTAGCCAGTGCCCTTCTTCCCAGTGAGCCGCAGAGGCTCAGAGCGGTACTGGCTTTGTAAAGGGAAAGGCCTTCATTTCTTCGTTTATCCCCCCAGCAGCGCTGGAGAGCGAGGTGGCTTCAATAAGCCTGGTGGTAAGTTTTTGAGCATTACAATGGATAGTGTTAAAAAAAAAAAAAAAAAAAAAAAAAAAAAAATTTGCAGTCAGTTTTTAGAACAAAGTGTAATTTTTATTAGTTTAAGTGGTTAAAATGACATATGCAACAAGACTGTAATGGGTACTGCCGGCAATGCCTAGGGGTATGCGGTTACAGGACACAGGGTAACGTGGAAGAATTGAGCAACCACTTCTGTAATTTGGGGAAAATAAATGGTTTGGATTTAATAAATTTTTTTGTAAAGTAACTTTTTAATAACGAACGTAAAACCGATTGGCCTGGTAAAGCATTAAAAAAAAAAAAAAAAAAAGTGTAATAGTGGTTAATGGTTTGAAAGGCTGCTAAAAATAGCAAACCGATCACCAAGTAAAGGTGCATTGCTGCTGTTTTTGCAATGCAGGTCAATTTGAGTTTAACCAGCGCCATCGAATGGTGGTTATAAGTAGATAGCATTGTGTGTGTCGGTTCTTCAGCCTGCAAGGCGTGCACTAACACGGCTCCTTATGATTCTTTCCCGACTGGCAGGACACATGGAAGAAGGACCGGACCTTGATTTAGGTAATTGCCAAGAACTGCTCGGAGTCTCTCCCGAGCTCGTGCAACTGAGACTTACGCGCTCGCTGGCCGCTGCCCCGCGGCGTGCCCTGCGGCAGCAGCACGGGGATGCCCCGCCACGCGCGGGCTCTGTCTGGCCATTTCATGTAGCTCTCGATTCCCGAGTCATCAGAACAGCTGGACTGGTGGAAAACCACACGCGTGTGCGAGGCGCTTACCCTCCTCCGTGGGAGCTGCGGGGGTGGTGGTGGTGGTGGGGGGGTTGGAATTTCGGAGGAGCTGCTCTGGAGCCCTTTGCTTCAGCAGAAAGCCTTTTTCAGGCAGCCTGAGCGCGGAGCTTGGACAGGCTGGTTCAGTAGCCTCCCCTGACCTGTCACCGTGCAGCTCTTTCCTTCCTGTTCCACAGGCGTGTCTGGAAGTTACGCGTCAGCCTTCCAGGATCGGCACGTCGCTGCGGAAAGGGGGGGGTTTAACCGCGTGGCTCTCCTGGCTCCGGGTGGAGGGGGGCAGCTGGTGGCACGGTCCTGCCGGCCCGCGGGCGGGGAGGCGGCGGGGAGTCGCCTCTCTCAGCGCCCCGGGGTCTCGTGTCGCTGCGGAAAAACGCTCACCGAGAGCGAAGCGGCGGGCGGGCGGCGCGGTGAAAAGCGCTCCCTTACGCTGCATCGCTGCTTCTCCTCCCCCGCCAATGACACGTGAATTATCTCCTAGGCCCACCTCTGGACCCAGATGAGGACTCGGACAACAGTTCAGTTTATGTGCAGGGACTCAATGATAACGTGACCCTGGAGGATCTGGCAGACTTCTTCAAGCAGTGCGGTGGTGTCAAGGTGAGGAGGAGCGGAGCTCGGCCTCCGGCCGGCGGGGCGCGGGGGAGAGGGATCGCCCGCCTCCGCCCTGCCTGCGCGTTGCTCGTCTCCCTTTGGCCCTTCGTTCCCAGCAGCCGGCAGGCTCTCTGCCTGCCTGGGCAGTAGGCTGACCCCCAGCCTGGCGCTGACCCGTAGCTCAGACTTCCCCGGAGAACCTCGGCAGGGTTAGTCCCTCCGCAGCGTGCTCAGGCAGCCACGGAGGGAGCTCGCCTCTGTGGATCTGCCGCTGGGTGGGACGCGGGAGGGGTCGGCGTGATGGGGGGGGGGAACACGGGGGTGGGGGGGGGGAGGCTGCAGCTCAGGGTGCACACAGCAGAGGCGTGTCGGGCTGGGCAGCGCTGTCCTGGGCTGCTTCCGTCGCGTGTTGGGTTGCCTGGGCGGGAGGTGTCACCCAGGGTAAGCCAGAGGGACCACGGGGTCACCAAAGGGAGGCTCGGTTGTCTCGAGTCGAAAGCAGGAGAGAGGAGAGTCAATCCCCGCTCTGCTTAGGGGGAGACATAGCTTGAGGTGACAGTTCTGCTGTCCTAGGTGAACAAGAGGACTGGGCAGCCAATGATAAACCTCTACATCGACAAAGAAACAGGCAAACCGAAAGGAGATGCCACCGTATCTTACGACGACCCGTCCACCGCCAAAACGGCTGTCGAATGGTTCGATGGTGAGTGTGCGGGCTGCGTTTCGGGATGGAATCGCTTTGTCCTCAATTTCAGAACTCAGTTCTCATCTGACCGAAATCAAGATTTGCGTCCTCGGTGCGTGGAGGATTGTGGTCATGGCAGGCTGGCTCTAGGTGGTCAAGCTTTTGCCTGGGAAGTTCCTGGTTTTAACTGGAACAGATAAGCGTGGTGCTTGGGTTGTGGTTGCCCTCAGTTGCCCGGGCTTCCGTCTCCCGTAACTAGAGTTTATCTCGGTCCCACTGGCGGAATTTTGCCCTTCTGCTGTCTTTGACACTTGGGTAGAACTCCCCCTGCGATGAACGCCTCGGTGCCGTCGCGTGCGCCGCCAGGCTCGCAGCAGAAAGCGATGCTCCGGCCCTTGTCTCCCTCCCAGGGAAGGATTTCCAGGGAAGCAAGCTCAAAGTGACCCTGGCGCGGAAGAAGGGCCCGATGAACAGCATGCGAGGCGGGATGCCCCCACGGGAGCCGCGGGGAATGCCGCCCCCGCTCCGCGGAGGTAACATCCACCCCCCCCACACACACACCCCGCGGCACCTGCCCAACCTCTCCTGGGATTAACGCAGCTTTCCCTGCAGGCCCGGGGGGGCCCGGCGGCCCGGGGGGGCCCGGCGGCCCCATGGGCAGGATGGGAGGCAGAGGTGGAGACAGGGGTGGCTTCTCCTCGAGAGGACCGCGGGGATCCAGGGGAAACCCCTCCGGCGGGAGCGTCCAGCACCGAGCCGGCGACTGGCAGTGTCCCAACCCGTAAGTGTCCCACGTCTTTCCCCCGCGCCGGCCTGCCGCCTCTCCAGCCGCTCCCGCGGGGTCACAGCAGCCGCCTTCTCTCGGAGCGTTTTTGAAAGGGGGGTGGGGGGGGGGGACCCAAAAAAATGAGTCTTTGCCAAAATAATTTGCTGGGCCTTCCGAGGGAGTTCCTTTCCCCCCAACCCGTCCGGAGCAGGGCTGGGGGCTGCGGCTGGAGGAGCAGCCCGGCCGCTGGTAACCGCTGGTTTTACCCAGGGGCTGCGGCAACCAGAACTTCGCCTGGAGAACGGAGTGCAACCAGTGCAAGGCTCCTAAACCAGAAGGGTTCCTTCCGCCCCCCTTCCCCCCTCCAGGTATGTCTGTGGTGGAATCCCAGGGCTGGAGGCAGCCAAGTTTCCAGCCGCCTGCCCAGGGGCTCTTCGGGGAGCTCCTGGGGCCGCTCTGCCCACGGGTTCCAGCTCTTCCTCAGGGCCCCCTTCAGCCCTTTTCGGTTCCCCTCGTTAGGCAGTGCTCTCTTAATGAGCCCCGGCTCTTTGGGGCGAGCTGGCTCTGAGCGGCTTCCCCCTCTCTCCCAGGCGGAGACCGCGGTAGAGGCGGCCCCGGGGGCATGAGAGGTGGGCGAGGAGGTGGCCTCATGGAGCGCGGGGGACCCGGTGGCATGTTCAGAGGTGGCCGCGGTGGAGACAGAGGTGGATTCAGAGGAGGCCGGGGAATGGATCGAGGCGGCTACGGAGGAGGCGGCCGGCGAGGGGGAGGAGGCCCTGGGGGCCCCCCGGGACCCCTGATGGAACCGATGGGAGGCGGAGGCAGAGGCGGACGGCGCGGAGGTCCCGGCAAGATGGATAAGTACGTACGGGGGGGTGGTGGAGGGGCAAAGAGGGGATGGGGGGGCATGGAGGGGCCCCCCCAGCCCCGGGCGGGGGACCCTGGGGCGCTGCAAGTGACCCGGGCTCTCCCTCTGCTCGCAGGGGCGAGCACCGCCAGGAGCGCAGAGACCGGCCCTACTAAAGACGGACCCCGCGGAGCTGCATTTACTACCAGATTTATTTTTTAAACCAGAAAATGTTTTAAATTTATAATTCCATATTTATAATGTTGGCCACAACATTATGATTATTCCTTGTCTGTACTTTAGTATTTTTCACCGTTTGTGGAGAAACATTAAAACCAAGTTCAAGGGTAGCGTGCCGAGTTCTCTTTCCCACCCCCCCCCCCGCCCCCCCCACTTAAACGCGGATGTTTAACAGAGCCCAAGCCCCCGCGCCCCCCGTGTCGTGAGCATGCTGTGCGCAAACCCCGGCGGCGGCGACGAGCTGTAACGATGTTAACGGTTGTGATGGTTCTTTTTTTTTCTTTCTTTTTTTTTTTTTTTTTTTTTAAAAAAAAAAAAATAAAATTCCCGATGTTTCTAACCGTACCACTTCTGGCCTCTCTTGAGAGCATCCCTGTTTGGGGGGGGGGGGGGAGGGTACCCCATGCCCCCCCCCCGGGAGGGAGCCCCCCGGCGGGGCGGGGGGAGCTGTGGGGCTGGATCCCTCTGTCCTGCGCTTTCAGGGTGCGGGTGCACCCCGGCCCCCCGCCCCCCCCCCCCCTTTCAGGGCTGCGCTCCCGGGTATGGGGGGGAAGGGCCCGATCCAGCCCTCCCCTCCTCTTCCCACGCGGTGTCCGTGTCCCGCGTGTCGGCCCGCCCCCGCCGCTCCCGTCCCGGCCCTTTCTGGGCCGGCTCCAACTTCCCGGCCCGGGCGGCGGCGGCGGCGGCGGCAACGCGGGGAGCGGCGGGGGGGGGGACACACCGGGGCGGGGGGGGGAGCTCGGCTCTGAGCTCCGCTCCCGTTGGCGGATGGCGGCGGGGGCTGCGCGGGGCCGGGCGGCGGCGGCGGGGCCCCCCCGGCGCTCGGAGCCGCGGCCCGGCCCGGAGCGGGGAGCGGGCGGGCGGCGCGGCCCGGCCCGGCGGTAGCGGAGCCGGCGGTGAGTCTGTCTGTCTGTCTGTGTTTGCGGCGGGGGGGGGGGGGGAGATGGGTGTGGGGTGGGTGGCCGTGTCCCTCTGCCCCTCACTCCCGCGCGTCCCCCCCACCCGTGTCCGCCATCCTCCTCTCCCTTCCCCCCCCCCCCCCCCCCCTTCCCACGCCGCGGGTCTCCCGCACAAGTCGGCATCTGCCTCGCAGGTGCCGACCCTCTCCCTCCCGCCCCCCCCCCCCTCCTCCCACCTCGGCAAACAGACAGACAGACAGGCAGGGCCCCCCCCCCCCCCCCGCGAGAAAGACACTTCCCCCCCCCCCCCCCCCCAAGGCAAGGGGGACCCACCCGGGTATAGAGACATCACCCACCCAGCAGGGACACCCCGGGAGGGAAGGTGACACCCCCGGCCCCCCAAGGGTGGAGTAACACCCCCCCCCGGGGAAGGGACCCCCCCCCCCCAGGGTGTGGGGCTGGGGGGGGTGGGCAGCACTGAGGGGCGAGTTCACCAGCTGTTGTACCCCCTGCCCCCCAAGGTCAGGGAGTTGGGGGGTGGGGGGGGCTCCCCCAGGGTGCAGCCCCCCCTTGCCCCCCCACTGGGGCCCGATACCAACCCCTGGAGCACCCACTTGGGGGGGGGGGGGGGTTGTGTGTGTGCAGCTCCCTGCTCCAGGCGTGGGGCCACCCGTGCTGGCACCGTGGTCCCACGGGGTGTCACCTGCTCCCACGGTGGTGCCACCCACCATGACTGGGCAGCTTTGGGGTGGGGGGGGGGGGGGGGGGGTCATCTCTGCTGCAGTGTCACAGCAGGGACCTGGGCGAGGGGGGGGGGGGGGGGCGTCGGTGACAAGTGACTCATTAACACCGTGGGGGCAGAGGGGACCCACGGGGAGGGGGGGACACGGGGTGCTGGTGCTGCGGGCAGGGGACAAGCAGGTTCTGGAGATGCTGGTGACCCTCCTGCCCACAGATAAAGGGGGGTGGGGGGGGAAACTGAGGCACAGAGGGGTCCTCCCCAGGGCTGGAGGTGGGGGGACCTGGGCAGCCAAACTCTGCTGGGAGGGGGGGGCTGTTCTGTGCCCACATCAGTCTGTAACGGTGCCCGTTGCCCCCCCCCCGCCCCCCCCGGCAGGCAGCTCGCCATGGCTGACCCCAGCCACATCCAGTCGGCCGCCTCCAAGAGCATCCGCCCGTTCCGCTCCAGCGAGGAGTACCTGGAGGCCATGAAGGAGGACCTGGCCGAGTGGTTCAACACCCTCTACGACCTGGACATCCAGGTGGAAACCTTCCTGGAGAGCCTGGAGACGGGCTGCCACCTCTGCCGCCACGCCAACAACGTCAACCGCATCGCCCTGGACTTCCAGCGGCGGCACCCCGAGGTGGCCGCCCCGATGCGCGTCCCTCGCAACGAGGTCGTCTTCCAAGCCAAGAACGTGGTGCCCGGGTCCTTCATCGCCCGGGATAACGTCTCCAACTTCATCCAGTGGTGCCGGCAGGACCTCGGCATCCAGGACGTCCTCATGTTCGAGACCAATGACTTGGTGCTGAAGAAGAACGAGAAGAACTTTGTCCTCTGCTTGTTGGAGGTGGCCAGGAGGGGCTCCAAGTTTGGCATGCTGGCCCCCATGCTGATCCAGATGGAGGAGGAGATCGAGGAGGAGATGAGGGACCAAATGGCCTACGGCATGCTGGGCACACGCCAGGAGAGCCGGGACCCCCAGGCGCCCGCCTACCCGCCCAGGGCCCGGCCCATCGCCCTCTGCGACCTGAAGAACCTGGACGAGCTGGTGAGACGTGCTCCCCTGGGAGCCCCGCGCCTGGGCCCACAGAGGTCCTCTCTGTCCACCCAACGGGCTTTTCTATGGTCCCAGGTCCTCTCTGTCCACCCAACGGGCTGCTCTATGGCCCCCAGAGGTCCTCTCTATCCACCCAACGGGCTTTTCTATGGTCCCAGGTCCTCTCTGTCCACCCAACAGGCTGCTCTATGGCCCCCAGAGGTCCTCTCTATCCACCCAACGGGCTTTTCTATGGTCCCAGGTCCTCTCTGTCCACCCAACAGGCTGCTCTATGGCACTCAGAGGTCCCGTCCCTCTCTGCCCCACGGGTTGTCCTCTCTGTCCCCCCGGCCAGGCCCCTGTGCCCTGTGGAGCCTCCTGACATCAGGACGGGTTATTTTGGTGGCCGTGGCCATAATCACAGAGGCAACGTGGGGGTCACCTCTGCCCCTGCCCCTTCCTCCCCACGGCGGGTGGGACACAGCGGTCCCCACCGCAGGAACCTGCTGCTGCCAGGATCCAGCCCTCCTCCTCCCACCACCTCGGGGCTGGTGTCTCTGGGGACAGACAGACAGACGTGGGGGACATCCCGACTGCTCACAGCCACGATTCGGGGTGTCAAGATGTGAGGGGAAGGGGGGGGGGGGGTGTCTCCTCCACAAGCTGGGGTGCAGGGACACCCCCCTCCCAGCTCCAAGGCCAGGAGGCTCAGGAGGGATTAGAGCCAGGCTGGGTGCAGGATCCGGCCCGCACGCGAGGCAGCGGATTAATGCGGGGATGGGGGGGGGGACGGGGGGGGACACACGGGGGGTCTGCCCTCCCCTGACTCCCTAAGCTCAAAGCCGTTTTTTAATTGAAACCCCGATTCCTCATTAAGTCCTGCAGCCACCATACTCAGACTGATGGGGATGGGGGGGGAGCATCCTGCGCTCCCCTCCACCCAGTGCTGCTGTAAAGGGCCCCCCACCCCAGGCTCTGCTGTTGCCCCCCCAAGCCCCCCCAGCCCCCTTGGCCGGGCGCTGCCAACCCCAGCTGCATTTTTCCGGGCTGCGTAATTCCTCGCCATCGGCTTTTATGGGCAGCGCTGGAGCCGGGGAGGAGCCTGAGGGTGCCGGATCCGGCCCGGCTGGTCCCCACGTGTGTGTGTGTCCCCCCCCCCCGGATGGCAGCAGGGTCAGGACCCCCCCTCACTGCAGCTCCCCCCCCTCCAGTGTCTCAGTTTCCCTGGTTGGGGCTGACCTTGTCACTCAGCTGCTGCCCCGGATGGGAACCGGAGTGGCCGGATCCTGCCCTGGGCTGGACCCTGCAGAAAGGCAGAACTGCAAAAAAAAAGAGGAATTATTAAAAAAAACCAAACAAACAAAAAAAAAAACCCAAAACAACCCACCCCAAACAAATTTAGGAGGGAGGGAGGCGATGCTGTGTCCCCCCCCCAACTCGTGGGGCAGGATCCGGCCGCGTCCCCGCGTCCCCCCGTGGCTCCCTGCCTAATCCCTGACGTCAGCCCGGGCAGGCTGTGGGCAGCGCGGCCCCCCCAGAGCACCCGGCCGGGAAGGCAGCACTGCCCTGCAGCCCCACCGCGATGGGGGTCCCCTGACCGCCCCCCCAGATCCTCCCTTGGGCTTTGCATCAGTGCCAGATGTTAAAGTTTTAGGGGAAAAGAAAAAAAAAAAAAAAAAAAAAAAAAAAAAAAAAAAAAGGGGGGCTTTGATCTTTTTCTGTTGGTGGATGTGGGGGGGCTAGAGGTCCCTGCCCCACAGCAGGGTGCTTGTTGGGGGGGAAAATTCCCCATGGTTCAGGGATTAGTGGGGCTGGGAAGGGATTCGGGGGGGGTGTTTCCTCCTCCTTCCCAGTTTCGGGGTGGCTCTGAGCACCCCGGTGTGGGTGGGCTCCAGGGAGTGGGTCTTGGCAGGAGATGAAGTGAGTTGTGCCCGTTCTCAGCCCGCTCACAGGCAGGTGGCCGTGGGAAGCCCCCCCGGGCCCTTCTCCCACAGTGTGTGGGTGCTGTGGGTGCTCCCCACTGCCTGGGGCTGCCGGTTTGGGCTCCCCCCCACAGACACCCCCCCTTTCCCCAGCTGAGTGCCGGCAGGTACAGGCAGGAGAAAGGGAGCTGCCAGATTTCCGGGGAGGGGGGCACAGCATCCCCACTGCAGAGGTGCAGCCAAGAGGCCGGGATCAAGCCAGCTCCATTCTACACAGCCCCTCCACGTGCACTCATCTATAGGGGCTGCCCCTATAGCTGGGGGTCCGCACCCTGCTGACAAACCCCCCACACACTTCTTTCTCTGCCCACAGGTTCGGGAAATCCTGGGCTGCTGCTCCTGCCCCTCCCAGTTCCCCATGGTCAAGGTCTCCGAGGGGAAATACAAAGTGGGCGACTCCAGCACACTTATCTTCGTCCGAGTAAGAACTAACCCCCCCCCCCCCCCCAAAACCCTCGCCGGGACCCCCCACTGCCCTCCTTCCCCCACGCCGTGGGGACCCATCTGGAGGGGTGGGCTCGGAGCTGAATTTGCTCCCCACACGCTGCCCCATGTTGGGGACCCGGGGGTGGGGGGTGGGGGGGGTTGGGGTGGCTTTTTGGCCCCGTCCCGGGGGACGGGCAGGGTGATGGGCGCGGGGCTGCCCGCAGGTGCTGAGGAGCCACGTGATGGTGCGTGTCGGTGGCGGCTGGGACACACTGGAACATTACCTGGACAAGCACGACCCGTGCCGCTGCTCCTCCCTCTGTGAGTGTCCCCGGGACCCCCAGCACCCCCCACCTCACCACCTTCCGCCGCTCCCGGCTCCTTGCCCTGGGGCTGGGCTGCTCAGGGCGCTGATCCGGCTGAAAAGGGAAAAGGGGACTGAGGAAAAGTGGGGTTTGGGCCAGATTAATTCCCTGAGGTGATTAACCCACAGCCTGGGAACCCCCCAGCTGGAAAAGCCGGGTGCCGGCACTCTGTGAGGGTGGGGTGGGTGACCCCAACCCCCCCCCCCACACACACATCTCCCTTTCCAGCTCACCGCCTGCCCCCACCCCGCACCCCGAGCTTCTCCCCTGCGGCCTGCGCCCCCAGCCCCAGCCCCCCCCGCCGCTCCCGCGCAGCCGGGGCCCCTCCGGGCCCCCCCGGCAGCCGCCAGCCCCGGGCTGTCGGGGACACCGGCATCCCGAAGCCGCCATCCAGCGCCAAGCAGGAGGGTTTGCCCCCCCGGGGGGGCCTGGGCTCCCTGTCCGGCTCTGCCAGCCCTTCGCGGAGCCCTGCTGAGCCCCGAGCAGCCAGCGCACACAGGTAGGGCACCCGTGGGTGCTGCCTGGAGAGGGTGGGTGGGGGGAGTGATGGCCGGCAGGCCCCCTGTGCGGGGGGAAGGAAGCTCAGCTCAGCTGGGGAACCCGCACGGCCTCTCAGGCCCAGCCTCACGGCAAGGCCTCAGCCCCACGGCAAGGCCTCAACCCTATGGCAAGGCCTCAGCCCCACGGCAAGGCCTCAGCCCCACGGCAAGGCCTCAGCCCCACGGCAGCCCCCAGCCCCACGGCGGGGCGGACACCTCCTTCCGCCCCGCCCTGAGGCAGACGGCCCACGCCCACCCCACGACACCCGTGCTCTGGGGGTCGCGGCCCTGGGGCCTCTCCCCCCCACCCCCGCCCCCGTTCCGCCGCTTCCCGCCGCTGCCAGTGCGCAGGCGCGGAGTGTGGGGCGGGGACTGCGCTAGCCTCGCCCCCCCCCGATGATTGGCAGGTCGGAAGGGCTACGCCCTGGCGGTGGGGGGGGGGGGCAATGAGGGAGAATGGGGGAGGCAGTGGGGGGAATGGGGGGGAGAAGTGGGGGGCAGTGAATGGGGGAATCATGGGGGGAATGGGGGGATTCAGTGGGAGGGAATGGGGGGCAATGGGGAGGCTATGGGTTAATCATAGGGGGAATGGGGGGGCAGTGGGGTAATCATGAGGGGAATGGGGGGTGCAGTGGAGGGGAATGGGTGGGAGAAGGGGGGGCAATGGGGGAGTGCAGTGGAGGGGAATGGGGGGGCAAGGGGTTAATCATGGGGGGGAATGGGAGGGGGCAGTTGGAGGGAATGGGGGGGCGTAGTGGGGGGGGAAGGGGGGCAATGGAGGGGGTCATTAGGGTGATCATGGGGGGGCGTGAGATTGCAATGGAGGAAAAGGGGGGGGGCAATGGGATGGAAGGGGGTGTGCAGCGGGGGGGTGCAATTGGGAGGGGAAAGGGGGGGTGGTTTCAGCAAGGGTGTACAATGGGGGGGGGCAATGGGGTGTGCGTTTTGCCTTTCCCCCCCCCCCAGGTCCCGGGACCCCGCTCCCACCCGCTCCCGCCGCTGCTCGGGCGACAGCGACTCCTCGGCCTCCTCCGCGCAGAGCGGCCCCCCGGGCCCGCGGGACGGGGGGACCCCCCGCCGCCGAGACCCCGGCCGGGGGGTCCCCCCTCAGCCTCCCCACGAGGCCGGCCGGATGGCACCGGAGGAGCGCGGCCGCTCGCGGGTGCCCAACGGGCCGGGCCGTGCCCCGCCGCGGGCCCGTAGCCACGGCCGCCCCGGCCCCCAGCCCCTGCTGCTCATCAGCCGCCGGCGCGACGGGCAGCACTCCTGGGCGCGGGCAGAGACCCCCTCCCGGCCCGCCAGCCCTGCCCGCAGCCGGACCCCCTCCCGCCCGGCCGCCCGCAGCCCCGCGCCCACCCCTCGCCGCTCCTCCCTGGAGGAAAGCGCCGGGGGGCGGCGGGGAGGGGGTCCCGGGGAAGCCCCCCAGGGCGGCGGGGCCGGGGACGCCTGGCAGCGGGAGCTGGAGGAGCTGGCGCGGCGGCTGCGGGCCCCGCTGCGGCTGGAGCCCGGCCAGGAGCAGCAGCTCTTCCGCCGGCTGGAGGAGGAATTCCTGGCCAACACGCGGATGATGGAGGAGCTGGAGAACGGGGAGACCCCCCCGGCCCCCCCGCCGCCCCCCGCCGCCGCCGACTCGGCCTACTGCTCCTCCAGCTCCTCCTCGTCCTCCCTCAACGTCTTCGCCAAGCACGGCCTCCCCGCCGAGGACGGCCGGCGGAGCGGCAACGGGGGCGGCCCCCCGGCGACGGCGACCCCCGAGATGGCGGGCGCGGGGCGCCGGCCGGCCCTCTCCAGCTCCTCGGACGAGAGCAGCTGCTTCCCGACCTCCTGGGACGCCCGGGGGGGCCCCGAGTCCGACACCGACTGGGCGCCGGGGGAGGACGAGCTGACGGAGACGGAGGAGCCCCCCGCCGTGGCTGGCGTGCCGGGGGTCCCCGCGCCGCCCCCGCGCCCCTGGGCCAAGCCCCGGCTGGACACGCAGCCCCACAAGAAGCCCTCCAGGATCCCCACCCCACGGGGCTACGGGGCGGCCGCCCCCCCCCAGCCCCAGGCCGGCGGCCCCAAACCCGGGGAGCGCAAGCCCTGGGGGGCTCTGCAGAGCGTCCTCTCCTCCTTCCTGGAGCCCGCCTGGGTCCCGCGGGAGCGCGAGGGGCTGGACGAGGACGCGTGGCCATGAGACGCCCGGCTCGGTAGCCGTGGGTGTCAAGCAGGATGGGGAGAAGCTCCCAGCACCCCCCCACAGTTGTGCCCCCCCCCACCCCCCCACCACCCTGGGGACGCCGCAGAGCTGCTGCTGGTGACGGAACCGGCACAGAGGGGCCCTGGCCAGGCGACGGCCGCGGCTCGGGGGAGCCGGGACGCCCGCCCTGGGTGACTGTTGGCGGTTGGGGTTGGGCCCCGCGAGGCGCAAGGGGGCCCGGACGCGCCCCGGCCCCGTGGGGAGCAGCTCCGCGGCGGGGGGTGGCCGTGGTGGTGGTGGCGGGTGCAGAGAGCCCGGGAACAGAGAGCAACCAGCTCTTGTCTTCTGATCTTTGTCCCTTCGCCTCTCCTCATTCTTCTCCTCATCTTGTCTTCCTCATCTTCTTGGCCACCTTCTTTTCCTCTTCTTGTCCTTCTTCTCTTGGCTGTCACCTTCTCCTCTTGGCCGTCCTTTGTCTTCTCGTCTTCTCCTCTTCTTGGACTTGTTGTCCTCCTCTTATCCCTCATCTCCTCTTCACCTTCTTTTGTCTTCTTTTCCTCTTCTTGGCCTTCTTGTCCTTCTCCTCTTGTCTGTCTTCTCCTCTTGGTCGCCTTCTGTCTTCGCATCTTCTCCTCCTCTTCTTGTCCTTCTCTTGTCATCTTCTCTTCTTGACCTTCTTGTCTTCTTGGCAACCTTCTCCTCTCCCATCTCTCTTCTCTTTCTCCTCTTCCTCCTCTCTCCACACCTGAGGTGACCTGGGGACATGCAGCCTGTTGTCACAACCTCTATTTCAGGGCAGGGGGGGGGTCACTTTGTCAGCCCCTGGCCGGCCACAGCACTGTCCACAGTGTGTGTTGATGTCCCCAGCGTGGGACAGGGCTGTGCGTGGGGTCCCCTGCCCAGGCCCCCTGCGGTTCCCACCCCTCCAGCCCTGCATGTCCCCCCCAAGCCAGTAAAGACCAATGGAGCTGACCCCACTGTGTCCAGCCGTCTGTCCTGGGGGGCGGGGGGGGTAAGACCCTCTCTGCGGGTTTGGGACCTGCTGAGGGGGAGCCAGTGGGGAGAAGGAGGGATGTGAGACCCCCCCTGCGCCCAAGGGAGGAAGGCTTAGCGGGGGGCGGGGGTCCTGGCATGGTTGGGAAGAGCCAGGATGAGGGTGATCCCCAAAGCTCTGCACGCCGTCGCAGCCATGGGGACCCCTCCAGGTCCCCAAAGCCCTTGGGGGTGCCCGGAGCCAAAAGCGCCCCCCGCCCCCGGCCGAGAGCCTTCACCTGAGAGCTGCTGGCCCCAGGGTGGCCGAGGGCTGGGCAGGTTGGGGGCTGCCATGGGGCCAAACCCTGCTGGCGGTGGCCACCCTGCCGCGACCGCAGCACTGGGCACCACGCACCGGGACGGGGCTGCCGCAGGCCTCGGCAGAGCCCTCAGAGGCTCAGCACCACCACTCGGCCTCCCCCAGGACCATCCTGTCCCCGAGAGGCACCCTGCCCCCGTTTCCCCCGGCCGCACGCCCAGCGCCGGGCAATTTGCTGCTTCAGGTCTTGCCCAGCCAGAGGCCATGGCCACCAGCCCCGGAGAGGGGTTATCTCCTCCCTGGGCACTGCTGAGAAGAAGCTCACAGCATCCTGCCTCCCCAGGGATCATGGAGCCACGACCCCAGGCACCAAGCTTGGGGTACTCCCCCTCCACCCCCCCCCAGCAGCAGCTCCAGGGGCAGATGTCACCTTTATTCAACGTTCGCTTAAAACAAGTGAACATACAATATATTTATATTTTATATATTAGATATTTCCTGCACCGAACGCTTTTGGTTAGGGGTGACCCATGGCTTTATTTTGGGGGGAAGGAAGGGGGGGAAAGGAGTAGTGTCACCCTAGGGGAAGGTGGCATGTCCTCTCCCGGCACCCATGGGTGACAGGGGGGAGCAGAGGGAGCTGGGGGCAGGGTTAGCTGCCCCAGCTCGGGGGGCAGAGGGGAGCGAGGGCAACGTGAGCTGATGGTCAGGGAGCCCTCCTAGCCCCACAGCAGGGGCTGGAAAAAGCCCTTTTTTTTTTTTTTTTTTTTTTTTTTTTTAACTGCCTCAACATTCAAGATCCTTGAGCCCTTCTGGGCCCTCTGCAGACCCTCTCCAAAGGGCTGGGAGCTCACCCACGGCTCTCCTGAACGAAACAGGGGAGGCAGGAGCAGGGGAAGGAAGGAAGAAGCCAAAGCCGTGTCCCACCCGCTCCCGGGTGCACCAGGATTCCTTTGGGGGGGGGCGGGGAATCTGCAGCAGGAGCCACCCAAGCCGACGGCACTTTGGGCCCCCCAACCAACACCAAAAGGCTCAGAGTGAGGCCGGGGGGGACCATTCCCAGGGCCGAGGGGTGCTGAACCCCTCACCAGACACCACCACGGGCAGACATGAGACCCAGCACCAGCGGGGAGGCGGATGGTTGCAGGGTGGGGGGGCACGTGGGGGAGGAGGCGAGCAGCACCCCCCTGCCTGCAGCAGCTCGATGAAAAAAAAAAACAAAAAACAAAAACAAAACAACCAAACAGTCACAAGGACCCAGAGGGTGAAACAGGGCTCTTGACGGGGCAACATCAGCAAGGAGGACACCGCATCACTCACACACAGATTTCTACAGGGGTGTAGGGACTGCCCTCCTCCGCTCGCCCCAGCCCCGCCGGGGATGGGAGCACCGGCTCCGTTTTTAGGGCCCCGGGGCTGGAGGGAGATGCCCAGGGGCTGGTTCCTTGGCAGGAAGGAAAGGAGACATGCACACGGGTCCTGCCCCGCTTCCTCGGGCGGGAGAGGGCGGAGAGGAGGACGAGGAGGGGCTGCGGCAGCACCTTAGTTCTTCAGGATGGTTTCGTAGGCTTGGTAGACGTACTGGGACACCTCGGGCGCTCGGCATTTCAGGGACAACTGCGGGGAGTGAAGGAGGAGAGGGGGTCATGGCACCTCACCCCACGCCGGTGAGCCACCAGCCCCAAAGCAAAGCCCTGCATGCTGCAGCATCCCCGCTCCGGGCAGCCTCAGCTCCTGATTTCGGCTGGATAAAAGATGATATTAAAAGGCCCCGAGCCCCCACACGCCCTCCCCGGGCTGCTGGTGCTCCCCCCGCCCGGTTGAGGAGCAGAGACATCCACATGCAGCGCAGGCAGGGGGGGCAGGGGGGCAGGCAGAAGCGCACAGGCTTTGTCTCCTGGGGTTTGATTCACAGCTTGTAGCTCGAGGGTGAACGGTTCCCCCAAAGGCATCTTCCTCTCCTAGGCGGTGCCGGCCCCCCGTAGGTTGTTTGCTCCAAGATTAAATATTAAACGACTCTGAACTCAATTAGCTCCTCAAGCCCGCAGGCGAGTGGGGAGAGCTCAGCGCAGGGGTGCCGAGGGGGGAATCCTCTGGGGTAAGGATATGCAGCTATCCTCATCCCAAGTGAACCCAGGAGGGTGGTGGGAACACCCTGACCCTCCGAATTGTTCACCTCCAACGAAGCTTCGCTCTCGGCACCGGCTTCGTGCCAGCCCTGCCGGGAGGGAGAAGCAAGAGGCACCAAGAGACAGGCAGGGCTGGCAGGGCAGCCGGCAGGCAGGTAAAAACATCAGGGGAGAAATAATCAGGCAGCAGCCAGACACAGCCCAAAGCCGGGGTAAAAACCAGTCTGCTAACCTCCAAATCCTGCAACAGCGGGCAGGCCGGCGGGAGCAGGCAGGCAGCAGGTACGGAGATACACAGAGAGGTGAGTCAAGGTGGCAGAGCTTGTCCCAAACCCAAAGAAAACAGGCTGCGAGGAAGGTGGGGAAGGGTACGGGCCGGGGAAAGCTGGACATTGGGATGGCTCGTGCCCAACACGAGGACAGACATCTTGCTCTGAGGCTGTTTGCTGCTGCAGTCGGGCTGCCTGGCACACAGGCAGAGCCAGGGATGCCCCAAGAAGGGGTTGGGTTGTATTTTTTTTTTTTTTTTTATTTGAACAGAGATGTGTGGGTGGCCTGGGACCGCTCTGCTTCCTTCAGCTGCCACCTCGGTGCCCCCCCCCTGGCACCAGGAGGGCAGCCCAGCGGAGCCCGAGCGCGGGTGCCGAGCCCAGCCGGGCAGCACAGGCCGGGTCTCGCCCTCCCCATGCGAGAGGGACGCCAGGACCGGCACAAGGGTGGGAGCTGGGCCCAACAGCAGCCCTGGGGGGCTGGGTGGGGGGGATCCCCACCACCACAGATGTGCCGCAGGAACCATCCAGCCCAACCCAGGCTCCGAGCGGAGAGAGGGGAAGGCAGGGCTGGCGGCAGGGCGGGCAGCAGCCTCGGCTCGGGGCTGTTTCGGAGGCAGGCAGGGGAAGGGGCGTACCGTGAAGCTGGGATTGCTGGGCTGGATCCTGAGCTCTGCCAGCACCCAGATGCCATTGGTGAGCTTCAGGGACTGGTAGAGCATGTCTTGGCCCTCCACGTTCCTCTTGGCGATGGTGAAGACGTTGCTGCCTTGGAGCTTGCTGCTAACGGCATCTGTGTGGGAGGAGAGAGCTGCTGGAGGGGCTGCTCGGGGCAGGGCACCGGGCTGGCCACCAGCTCCCTCTGGACCTGCTCCTGCCCCATCTCTCCTCCCCCCCGGGCCCCGTCGCGACGCAGCACATCCAAAACCCGCCGTCCCCGCGCAGCGAGGAGAAGGGCTCTATTCAGCCCGGCTCCCAGGTCCTCCCCAGGGAGCCCAGCGCTCAATTCACCCGCCGAGCCGCCCCGCTTCGCTCCACAAAGGTCAGCTCGCCGCTGCCAGCGGGACTGAAAGGACTTGGCTGTCCCCAGCCGGGATTCGCACGTCCTGCTTGGCACCGGATCACCCGGAGAAAAGGAGCTGGGGGCACGAAGAGGCGCCGAGGAGCCTGGCACCGGCTCCTGCCCACGGCTGCCTGCTCTGCCTGCGAGCACGGGACCGCTGCCCTGCCCACGGGTTGGCCGGGACGGGCTGCTGCGAGGCCTGGCAGCGTCGGGGCTGCGTCATCCAGCCCGATCCCTGGGTGGGCACAGCA